AGAGGAAGGAGGGAAGGCACCTCAGCCCAGGACACAAGCTGAGGGAGGAAGGGAGGGGCGGGCACCAGCCCGGGACACAAGCTGAGGGAGGGGAGGGGCGGCACCAGCCCAGGACAGAGGGAGGAAGGAGGGGCGGCACTCAGCCCAGGACACAAGCTGAGGGAGGAAGGAGGGGCGGCAACGGAGCCCAGACACAAGCTGAGGGAGGGAGGGGAGGCACCCAGCCCAGGACACAAGCTGCGGGAGGAAGGAGGGGAGGCACTCCAGCCCAGGGACACAAGCGAGGGAGGAAGGAGGGAGGCACCTGGCCCAGGACACAAGCTGAGGGGAGGAGGGCGGCACCCAGCCCAGGACACAAGCTGAGGGAGGAAGGAGGGGCGGCACCCAGCCCAGGACACAAGCTGAGGAGGAAGGAGGGGCACCCAGCCCACACAAGCTGAGGAGGAAGGGCAACTGGCCCAGGACACAAGCTGAGGGAGGAAGGCGTACCTCAGCCCAGGACACAGGCTGAGGGAGGAAGAGGGGGTGGCACAGCCCAGGCACACAAACAGGAGGAAGAGGCGGCACCCAGCCCAGGACACAGCGAGGGGTGGAAGGAGGGGAGGCACCCAGCCCAGGACACAAGCTGAGGGAGGAAGGAGGCGGTACTCAGCCCAGGACACAGGCTGAGGGAGGAAGAAGGGGCAACCCAGCCCAGGACACAAGCTGAGGAGAAGGCACGGCACCAGCCCAGGAAACAAGCTGAGGGAGGAGAGGCGGCACCAGCCCAGCACAAGCGAGGAGGGAGGAAGGCACCCAGCCCAGGACACAAGCTGAGGGAGGAAGGGCACCTGCCCAGACACAAGCTGAGGGGAGAAGGAGGGGCGGCACCCAGCCCAGGACACAAGCTGAGGGAGAAAGGAGGTGCGTCACCCAGCCCAGGACCAAGCTGAGGGGAGGAAGAGGCGGCACCCAGCCCAGGACACAAGCTGAGGAAGGAAGAGGGGCGGCACCCAGCCCAGGACAAAGCTGAGGAGAGGCGGCACCCAGCCCAGGACACAGGCTGAGGGAAGGAAAGGCACCAGCCCAGGACACAAGCTGAGGAGAAGGAGGGGGCACCAGCCCAGGACAAGCTGAGGGAGGAAGGAGGGGAGGCATCCAGCCCAGGACACAGGCTGAGGGAGGAAGGAGGGAGGCACCCAGCCCAGGACACAAGCTGAGGAGGAAGGAGGGGCGGCACCAGCCCAGGACACAAGCTGAGGGAGGAAGGAGGGCGCACCCAGCCCAGGACACAAGCTGAGGAGAAGGAGGGGCGGCACACCAACCAGGACACACGAGGAGGGGGGCGCCCAGCCCAGGACACAAGCTGAGGGAGGAAGGAGGGGCACCCAGCCCAGGACACAAGCTGAGGGAGGAAGGGGCGGCACCCAGCCCAGGACACAGGCTGAGGTAGGAAGGAGGCCAGGGACACAGGCTGAGGTAGGAAGGAGGTGCGACCCAGCCGGAAGCTGAGGGAGGAAGGAGGGCGGGCACCCAGCCCAGGACACAAGCTGAGGGAGGAAGGAGGCGGCACCCAGCCCAGGACACAGGCTGAGGTAGGAAGGGGAGGCAACCCAGCCCAGGACAAGCTGAGGTAGGAAGGAGGTGCGGCACCCAGCCCAGGACACAAGCTGAGGGAGGAAGGAGGGGGCGGCACCCAGCCCAGGACACAGCTGAGGTAGGAAGGGAAACCCAGACACAGGCTGAGGTAAAGGAGGCACCCAGCCCTGACACAAGCTGAGGGAGGAAGGAGGGCGGCACCCAGCCCAGGACACAAGCTGAGGAGGAAGGAGGGGCACCCAGCCCAGGACACAGGCTGAGGTAGGAAGCGGGGAGGCACCAGCCCAGGACACAGGCTGAGGGTGAAGGAGGTGCGGCACCCAGCCCCGGACACAAGCTGAGGGAGTGAAGGAGGGGCGGCACCCAGGTGCCCAGGACACAAGCGAGGGGAGGAAGGAGGGGCGGCACCCAGCCCAGGACACAAGCTGAGGGAGGAAGGAGGGGCGGCACCCAGCCCAGGACACAAGCTGAGGAGGAAGGGAAGGCACCCAGCCCAGGACACAGGCTGAGGTAGGAAGGGGGAGGCACCCAGCCCAGGACACAGGCTGAGGTAGGAAGGTGGCACCAGCCCCGCGACACAAGCTGAGGGAGGAAGGAGGGCGGCCCCAGCCCAGGACACAAGCTGAGGGAGGAAGGAGGCGGCACCCAGCCCAGGACACAGGCTGAGGTAGGAAGGGGGAGGCACCCAGCCCAGGACACAAGCTGAGGAGGAAGGAGGGGCGGCACCCAGCCCAGGACACAGGCTGGGAGGTAGGGAGGGGGAGGCACCCAGCCCAGGACACAGTGGCTGAGGTAGGAAGGAGGTACCCAGCGCCCTGACACAAGCTGAGGAGGGACGAGGGCGGCACTAGCCCAGACACAAGCTGAGGGAGAAGGAGGGCGGCACCAGCCCAGGACACAGGCTGAGGGAAGAAGGAGGTGCACCCCTGCCAGGACACAAGCTGAGGGAGTGAAGGAGGTGCGGCACCTGCCCAGGACACAGGTTGAGGAGGAAGGAGACGACCCAAATAAAGAGATTATATAAACTCTCGCCATAGAGGAAGGAAACAACCTGGTGAACAGCTCAGTGTGGCTCTGAAGGAGGAACGACCAGAAGACCATTCTCATCAGGCTCCTGGAAGGTGGAACTAGACCAGAAGGCTATCTCTACCTGAGGGTTTCAAGGAGGAACTAGACCAGAAGACCATATCTCACTGTTCCTAAGAGGAAGAACAGGACCCAGATAGCGATGTTCGTTTCTATTTCCCTGGAGGAGGAACTGAGTGCTGCACACCATGGGTCCATCTCCCCTCGGTACTTGTAGAAGAAGCGGGAGACCCAGACCAGGGGAACACTCTCACCTGCCACCAGGAGACAATAACAGGTACTAGGGAGAATACACTTCACCAGGAACTGTACTGTTGCTGTCTCACTACAGGAGGAGATGGAGACCTGATGTAACACCTTACTGCTCCAGAGTGTCTGGCAACACAGAGAGCAACACAGAGAGCAAACACCAGGCAACACAGAGGGCAACACAGAGCAAACACAGAGCAAACACAGAGGGCAACACAGAGGGCAACACAGAGGGCAACACAGAGGGCAAAACACAGAGAGCAACACAGAGCAACACAGAGGGCACACAGAGGGCAAACAGGGGCAACACAGAGCAACAACAGAGGCAAACACAGAGGCACAGAGAGCAACAGAGAACAGGGCAACATAGAGGGCAACACAGAGCAACATATAGGGCAAACAGAGGCACATAGAGGGCAACATAGAGGGCAACACAGAGAGCAACATAGAGTAACACAGAGGGCAACATAGAGAGCGCTACAGAGCAACATAGAGGGCAAATACAGAGAGTAAATACAGAGCAAATACAGAGGGCAAATACAGAGGGCAAATACACAAAGTAAATAGAGCAACACAGAGCAACAGAGTAAAATACAGAGGGCAACATAGAGGGCAACACAGAGCAACACAGAGGCACATGAGGGCACACAGAGGGCAACACAGAGCAACACAGAGGGCAACACAGAGCAAATACAGAGCAACACAGAGGGCAACACAGAGGGCAAACACAGAGGGCACACAGAGGGCAACACAGAGGGCAACAGAGGGCACACAGAGGGCAACACAGAGCAACACAGAGCAACACAGAGGGCAACACAGAGGCAACATAGAGGGCAAATACAGAGCAACATAGAGCAACACAGAGCAAAGAGAAGCAACACAGAGTAAATACAGAGCAACACAGAGGGCAACACAGAACAACACAGAGCAACACAGAGGGCAACACAGAGGGCAAACATAGAGGGCAACACAGAGAACACATAGAGCAACAGAGCAACAACACAGAGGAATACAGAGCAACATAGAGGGTAAATAGAAAACACAGAGGGTAACAGAGCAAAATACAGAGGAAACACAGAGGGCAACACAGAGCAGAAACACAGAGGCAAGCACAGAAAACACAGAGCAAACACAGAGGCAACACAGAGGGCGACAGAGGCACACAGAGCAACACAGAGTAAACACAGAGGGCAAATACAGAGGGCAGACACAGAGGCAACACAGAGGCAAATACAGAGGGCAAACAACAGAGGGCACAAAGGGGCAACACAGAGCACAGGAGCAACACAGAGGGCAAAACAGAGCAACACAGAGCAACACAGAGCAAATACAGAGGGGTAAAGAGAGGCAAACAGAGCAACACAGAGAGAAACACAGAGCAACACAGACAAATACAGAGGGCACATACAGAGGGCAACACAGAGGGCAAACACAGAGCAAAGAGGTAAATACAGGAAAACACAGAGGAACACAGAGGGGAAAATACAGAGGGTAAACACAGAGGGCAACACAGAGGCAACACAGGAGCAACACAGAGGCACAGAGGGTACACAGAGGGCAACATGAGCAACATCAGAGAGCAACACAGAGCAACACAGAGCAACACAGAGGGCAAACACAGAGGGCAACACAGAGAGAAACACAGGGGGAGACAGAGGGCACACAGAGGGCAACATAGAGCAACACAGAGGGCAACACAGCAACACAGAGCAACACAGAGGGGCAACACAGAGAAACACAGAGGGCAACACAGAGGCAACACAGAGGGGGCAGAGCAACAGAGGGCAAACACAGAGGGCAAACACAGAGCAACATAGAGAGCGACACAGAGCAACACAGAGGGCATACAGAGGCAGAGGGCACATAGGGCAAAGCAGAAACACAGAGGGCAACACAGAGCAACACAGAGGGCACACAGAGCAACACACAGAGCAACACAGAGAGGCGACACAGAGCAACACAGGTAACACAGAGGGCAACACAGAGAAATACAGAGAGCAAATACAGAGCAAACAGAGGGCAAACATAGGAAAACAGAGGGCAACACAGAGGGCAAAGCAACAGAGGGCAACACAGAGCAGACACAGATGAAACACAGAGAGAAACAGAGCAACACAGAGCAACACAGAGGCAACACAGAGGAACAGATAGCAAATACAGAGGGCAAACACAGAAAACAGGACACAGAGAAACACAGAGCAAAAGAGAGCAACACAGAGGGCAACACAGAGGGAAACACAGAGGGCACACAGAGGGGCAACACAGAGGGAAACACAGAGGGCACAGAGGCACACAGAGGGCAACATAGAGGCAACACAGAGGGCAGAGGGCAACAAGAAACACAGGGCAAAAAAAAGAGGCAACAGAGGGCAACACAGAGAGGGCAACACAGAGCAACACAGAGTACAGAGAGAAACACAGAGGAGAGCAACACAGAGGGCGAACACAGAGGCAACACAGAGGGCAACACAGAGGGCAACACAGAGGGCAACAGAGGAAATACAGAGGGCAACACAGAGGCAACACAGAGGGCAAACACAGAGGGCAACACAGAGGGCACACAGAGAGCACACAGAGGGCAACACAGAGCACACAGAGGGCAAACAGAGGGCAAATACAGAGGGCAACACAGAGCAACAGAGGGCAACATAGAGGGCAACACAGAGGGCAAACACAGAGGGCAAACACAGAGCAACACAGAGGTAAACAGAGGGAAACACAGAGGGACACAGAGGCAACACAGAGGGCAACACAGAGGGCACATAGAGCAACACAGAGGGGGCAACACAGAGGGCAACACACAGAGGGCAAACACAGAGCAACACAGAGGGCAACACAGAGGGCAACACAGAGGGCAACACAGAGGGCAACACAGAGGGCAACACAGAGGGCAATACAGAGCAACACAGAGGAGGGCAAAACAGAGGGCAACACAGGGCAACACAGAGGGCAACACAGAGAAACACAGAGGCAACACAGAGGGCAACACAGAGGGTGACAGAGCAAACAAGAGGGCAACACAGAGGCAACACACAGAGGCAACACAGAGCAACACAGAGCGAGACACAGAGAGAAACACAGAGCAACACAGAGCAACACAGAGGGCAACACAGAGGCAACACAGAGGGCAACACAGGCAACACAGAGCAACACAGAGGGCAACACAGAGGGCAACACAGAGGGCAACACAGAAGGCAACACAGAGCAACACAGAGGGCAACACACAGAGCAACACAGGCAACACAGAGGGCAACACAGAGGGCAACACAGAGGGCAACACAGAGGGAAACACAGAGGGCAAACACAGAGCAACACAGAGGGCAACACAGAGGGCAACATAGAGGGCGACACAGAGGGAGCAACACAGAGGGCAAATACAGAGGGCAACACAGAGCACACAGAGGGCAACACAGAGGGCAAATAGAGGGCAACACAGAGGGCAACAGGGCATACAGAGTAAATACAGAGCAACACAAGAGAGAAACAGAGCAACACAGAGCAACACAGAGGGCAACACAGAGCAACACAGAGAGGGCAACACAGAGCAAACACAGAGGGCAACACAGAGCAACAGAGGCAACACAGGCAAATAAGAGCAACACAGAGAGCAACACAGAGCAAAGGAGCAAACACAGAGGGTAACATAGAGCAACACAGAGGAACACAGGAAATACAGAGAAACACAGAGAAATACAGAGGGTAAATACAGGGCAACATAGAGGCAACACAGAGAAACAGAGGGGCAACAAGAGAAAACAGAGGAACAAACAGAAGAAACACAGAGGGCAACACAGAGCAAACACAGGGCAAACACAGAGGGCAACACAGAGCAAATACAGAGCAACACAGAAAACACAGAGGGCACACAGAGGGCAAGACAGAGGGCAACACAGAGGGCAACAGAGCAACACAGAGGGCAACACAGAGCAAAACACAGACAACACAGAGCAACACAGAAGGCAAACACAGAGCAACACAGAGCGACACAGAGCAACATAGGCAAAGGCAACAGAGGGCAACACAGAGTAAACACAGAGCAACACAGAGGGACAGAGCAAATACAGCAACACAGAGCAAACACAGAGGGCAACACAGAGGGCACAGAGGGCAACATAGAGCAAACACAGAGGGCAACACAGAGGTAACACAGAGGCGACACAGAGGGCAAAAGAGCAACACAGAGGGAGTAACACAGGAGTAAATACAGAGTAACACAGAGGGCAACATAGAGTAACATAGAGGGCAACACAGAGGCAGAGCAACACAGAGCGACACAGAGCAAATACAGAAGCAACACAGAGGCACAGAAGAGGCAACACAGAGGGCAACACAGAAGCAACACAGGGGCAACACAGAGAAATACAGAGGCAAACACAGAGGGCAACACAGAGGGCACACAGAGGCAACACAGAGGCAACACAGAGCAACACAGAGCAACATAGAGGGCAACACACAGAACACAGAGGGCAACAAGAGGGCAACACAGAGGGGCAAAAGAGCAACACAGAGCAACAGAGAACAGAGGGCAACACAGAGGCAACACAGAGCAACACAGGGCGACACAGAGGAAACACAGATAAACACAGAGCAACACAGAGGGCAACACAGAGCAACAGAGAGCAAACACAGAGGGCAAATACAGAGCAAATACAGAGGACACAGAGAGAAACACAGAGCAACACAGAGCAACACAGAGGGCGACACAGAGGGCAACACAGAGGGCAACACAGAGCAACACAGAGAAAGGCACACAGAGCAACACAGAGCGACACAGAGAGAAACACAGAGCAACAAAAATACAGAGGGCAGACACAGAGGGCACACAGAGGCGACAGAGGGCAACACAGGGCGAAGGGCAACATAGAGGGCAACACAGAGGCACATAGAGGGCAACAGAGGCAACATAGAGGGCAAATACAGAGCAACACAGAGATAACACAGAGGGAAACACAGAGAACACAGAGCAACACAGAGGCAACACAGAGGGGCAACACAGAGGGCAAATACAGAGCACACAGGAGCAACACAGAGCAAACAGAGCAACACAGAGGGCAACACAGAGGGCAAACACAGAGGCACACACAGAGGGCAACACAGAGCAACACAGAGGCAACACAGAGGGTAAACATATAGCAAGAAAACACAGGCAAACACAGAGGGCAACACAGAGCAACACAGAGGGCAACAGAGGGCAACAACAGAGGCAACACAGAGGGCACACAGAGGGTAACACAGAGGGCAAACACAGAGGGCAACAGAGAAACAGAGGGCAACACAGAGGGTAAATACAGAGGGCACAGAGGCAACATAGAGGGAAACACAGAGGGCAACACAGAGCAACATAGAGGCAACACAGAGGGCGAATACAGAGGCAAACACAGAGGGCAACACAGAGTAAACACAGAGCAGAACACAGAGAGCAACACAGAGCAACATAGAGCAACACAGAGCAAATACAGGGCAACACAGAGCAACACAGAGGGCAACACAGAGGGCAACACAGAGGGCAACACAGAGGGCACAGAGGCAAACACAGAGGGCGACAGGCAACACAGAGGGAAACACAGAGGGCAACACAGAGAAACACAGAGAAACACAGAGCAACATAGCAACACAGGAGCAACACAGAGGACACAGAGCAAATACAGAGGGAAATACAGAGTAAACACAGAGGGAAACACAGAGCAACACAGAGTAACAGAGCAGGAACACAGAGGGCAACACAGAGCAACACAGAGGGCAACACAGATAACACAGGGCAATACAGAGGTACACAGAGCAAATACAGAGGGCAACACAGAGGGCAAATACAGAGGCAACACAGGCAACACAGAACACAGGGCGACACAGAGGCAACACAGAAGGCAACACAGAGGGCAACAGAGGCAAACACAGAAGCAACACAGAGGGCAAACACAGAGCAAAGCAACAGAGAGCAACACAGAGGCAACACAGAGCAACACAGAGGGCAAACACAGAGCAACACAGAGGGCAACACAGAGGGCAACACAGAGCAACACAGAGGGCACATAGAGGGGCAACACAGGAAAATACAGAGGGCAACACAGAGCAACACAGAGGCAACACAGAGGGCAACACAGAGCAACACAGAGGGCAAGAGGGCAACAGAGGGCACAAGAGCACAGAGCAACATAGAGGAAACACAGAGGGCAACATAGGAGAGAAACACAGAGGCAACACAGAGGGCAACATAGAGGGCAACACAGAGGCACACAGAGTAAATACAGGCAACACAAGAGGGCAAATACAGAGCAAACACAGAGGGGCAACACAGAGGGCAACACAGAGGCAACACAGAGGGCAACACAGAGGGCAACACAGGAAAACACAGAGGGCAAATACAGAGGCAACACAGAAGGCAAACACAGAGGGCAACACAGGAGCAAACACAGAGGCAACATAGAGGCAACACAGAAGGCAACACAGAAAGACACAGAGGGCAACACAGAGAAACACAGAGGGCAACACAGAGCAACACAGAGGGCAACACAGAGCAACACAGAGGGCAACACAGAGGGCAACAAGAGCAAACACAGGAAATACAGAGGGCAACACAGAGGGCAACACAGAGCACACAGAGCAAACACAGAGGGCAACACAGAGAGAAACACAGAGGCAACAGAGGTAAATACAGAGCAACACAGAGGGCAACACAGAGGGCAAACAGAGCAAATACAGAGGGCACATAGAGGCAACACAGAGCAACACAGAGGGCGACACAGAGGGCAACACAGAGGGCAACACAGAGCAACACAGAGGGCAACACAGAGGGCAACACAGAGCAACACAGAGGGCGAACACAGAGGGCAACATACAGAGGGCAACACAGAGCAACATAGAGCAACATGAGGGCAACATAGAGGGCAACACAGGAGCAAACACAGAGGGCACACAGAGGGCAACACAGAGTAAATACAGAGGGCAACACAGAGCAACAGAGCAAACACAGAGGGCAACATAGAGGGCAAATACAGAGCAAATACAGAGGGAACACAGAGCAACACAGAGTAAATACAGAGGGCAACACAGAGGGTAACATAGAGGGCAACACAGAGGGAAATACAGAGGGGTAACATAGAGGCAATACAGAGAGAAGACAGAGGGAAACACAGAGCAACACAGAGGGAAACACAGAGGCAACATAGAGGGCAACATAGAGCAAACACAGAGCAACACAGAGCAACACAGAGAAACACAGAGCAACACAGAGCAACACAGGAGCAACACAGAGGGCAACACAGAGCAACACAGAGGGCACACAGAGGGAAGATACAGAGGGCAACACAGAGGGCGACACAGAGCAACACAGAGCAACACAGAGGGGCAACACAGAGCAACACAGAGGGCAACACAGAGCAACACAGAGGGCAACACAGAGCAAATACAGGAGCAACATAGAGGGCAACACAGAGGGCATACAGAGGCAACACAGAGTAAATACAGAGGCAAACAGAGGGGAAACACAGAGGCACATAGAGGCAGAGGGCAAACACAGAGGGAAAACACAGAGCAAATACAGAGCAACACAGAGTAAATACAGAGGGCAACACAGAGGCAGAGCAAATACAGAGGGCAACACAGAGCAACACAGAGCAAAGAGGCAACACAGAGGGCAACACAGAGCAAACACAGGGCAACACACAGAGCAACACAGAGCAACACAGAGGCAAAACACAGAGGGCAAACACAGAGGGCAACACAGAGGGCAAACACAGAGGGCAACACAGGCAAATACAGAGCAACACAGAGCAACACAGAGGGCAACACAGGGCAACACAGAGGCAACACAGAGAAATAGAAACACAGAGCAACAGAGCAAAAAGAGCAAAACAGAGCAACATAGAGCACACAGAGGGCAACATAGAGCAAACACAGAGCAAGGCAAACAGAGGGCAACACAGAGGGCAACATAGCAAACAGAGAGAAACATAGAGCAACACAGAGAAACACAGAGGGCGCACACAGAGGGCAACACAGGCAACAGAGCAACACAGAGGGCAACACAGAGCAAACACAGAGGGCAACACAGAGGGCAACACAGAGGCAACACAGAGGGCAAACACAGAGGGCAACACAGAGCAAACACAGGGCAACACAGAGGGCAACACAGAGGGCAACACAGAGCAACACAGAGGGCAACAGAGGGCAAATACAGAGGCAACACAGAGCAACACAGAGGGTAAACACAGAGCAACACAGAGCGACACAGAGCAACACAGAGGGCAACACAGAGGGGCAACAGAGGGCGACAGAGGCAACACAGAGCAAACACAGAGGCAGGCAAACACAGAGAGAGCAACACAGAGACACAGAGCAAATACAGAGGGCAAAACACAGAGGGCAACACAGAGAAACACAGGCAACACAGAGAACAAACACAGAGGCAACACAGAGGGCAAATACAGAGGGCACAGAGGGAAACACAGAGGGACACAGAGGCAAATACAGAGCGAAGCAGAGAGAAACACAGAGCAACACAGAGGGCAACACAGAGGCAACACAGAGCAACACAGAGGCAAACACAGAGGGCAACACAGAGCAACAGAGCGACACAGAGAGAAACACAGAGCAACAGAGGGCAACACAGAGGGCAACACAGAGGGCAACACAGAGGGCAACACAGAGGGCGACACAGAGGGCAACACAGAGGGCAACACAGAGGGCAACACAGAGGGCAACACAGAGGGCAACACAGAGGGCAACACAGAGGGCAACACAGAGCAACACAGAGCAACACAGAGGGCAAATACAGAGGGCAACACAGAGGGCAACACAGAGGGCAACACAGAGGGCAACACAGAGGGCAACACAGAGGGCAAACACAGAGGGCAACACAGAGGGCAACACAGAGGGCAACACAGAGGGCAACACAGAGGGCAACACAGAGCAACACAGAGCAACACAGAGGGCAACACAGAGGGCAACACAGAGGGCAACACAGAGGGCAACACAGAGCAACACAGAGCAACACAGAGGGCAACACAGAGGGCAACACAGAGGGCAAACACAGAGGGCAACACAGAGCAACACAGAGCAACACAGAGGGCAACACAGAGGGCAACACAGAGGGCAAACACAGAGGGCAACACAGAGCAACACAGAGCAACACAGAGGGCAACACAGAGGGCAACACAGAGGGCAACAACACAGAGGGCAACACAGAGGGCAACACAGAGGGCAACACAGAGCAACACAGAGCAACACAGAGGGCAACACAGAGGGCAACAGAGGGCGCAACACAGAGGGCAACACAGAGGGCAAACACAGAGGGCAACACAGAGGGCAACACAGGGCAACACAGAGGGAGACACAGAGGGCAACACAGAGCAACACAGAGCGACACAGAGAGAAACACAGAGCAACACAGAGCAACACAGAGGGCGACACAGAGGGCAACACAGAGGGCGACACAGAGGGCAACACAGAGGGCGAACACAGAGGGCAACACAGAGGGCGACACAGAGGGCAACACAGAGGGCAACACAGAGGGCAACACAGAGGCAACACAGAGCAACACAGAGGGCAACACAGAGGGCAACACAGAGGGCAAACACAGAGGGCAACACAGAGCAACACAGAGGGCAACACAGAGGGCAACACAGAGGGCAACACAGAGGGCAACACAGCAACACAGAGCGACACAGAGAGAAACACAGAGCAACACAGAGCAACACAGAGGGCGACACAGAGGGCAACACAGAGGGCAACACAGAGGGCAACACAGAGCAACACAGAGGGCAACACAGAGGGCAACACAGAGGGCAACACAGAGGGCAACACAGAGGGCAACACAGAGCAACACAGAGGGCAACACAGAGGGCAAACACAGAGGGCAACACAGAGGGCAACACATAAACACAGAGGGCAAACACAGAGGGCGACACAGAGGGCAACACAGAGCAACACAGAGGGCAACACAGAGGGCAACACAGAGGGCAACACAGAGGGCAACACAGAGGGCGACACAGAGGGCAACACAGAGGGCAACACACAGAGGGCAACACAGAGGGCAACACAGAGGGCAACACAGAGGGCAACACAGAGGGCAACAACAGAGGGCAACACAGAGGGCAACACAGAGCAACACAGAGGGCAAATACAGAGGGCGACACAGAGGGCAACACAGAGCAACACAGAGAGACACAGAGAGAGAAACACAGAGCAACACAGAGCAACACAGAGGGCAACACAGGGCAACACAGAGGGCGACACAGAGGGCAACCAGAGAGCAACACAGAGGGCAACACAGAGGGGGGGCAACACAGAGGGCGACACAGAGGGCAACACAGGGGCACAAGGGCAACACAGAGCAACACAGGGGCAACACAGAGGGCAACACAGAGGGCGACACAGAGGGCAACACAGAGGGCGACACAGGGGCAAAGAGGCAACACAGAGGGGGCAACACAGAGGGCAACACAGGGGCGACACAGGGGCAACACAGAGGGGCCATAGGGGCACCAGGGCAACACAGAGGGCAACACAGAGGGCAACACAGAGGCACAGAGAGGGCAACACAGAGGGCGACACAGAGCAACACAGAGCGACACAGAGAGCACAGGCAACATAGAACTAGAGGCAACCTGAGGGCAACACAGAGCAACACAGGAGCACACAACTAGAGGGCAACACAGAGCAACAGGGCAACACAGAGGGCAACAAGGAGCAACACAGAGAAACACAGAGCAACACAGAGCAACACAGAGGGCAACACAGAGCAACACAGAGGGTACAGAGCAACACAGAGAGAAACACAGAGCAACACAGAGCAACACAGAGGGCCACAGGGCAACACAGAGGGCAACACAGAGCCACAGAGGGCAAAAGATGTAACACAGGGCGACACAGAGGGCATCACAGAGCAACAATGTGCAACACAGAGGGCAACACAGGAGCAACACAGGGGCAACACAGAGCAACACAGATAGCAACACAGGGCCACAGGGCAATACAGAGGGCAACACAGGGCATCACAGAGCAACACAGATAGCAACACAGAGGGCAACACAGAGCAACACAGATAGCAACACAGAGAGGGCAACACAGAGCAACACAGAGGGCAACACAGAGCCAACACAGAGAGCAACACAGAGACACAGAGGGGGCCACAGAGAGGTAACTGAAGAGCGTGAGAGACAGGTACAACACTGACTCCAAAAAGACTTATGTAGGTACAGGAGCCGTCGAGGGTGTAGATAACAACACCTGATGTTTCTTTCATTATAATGTGTTGTGGTAGTGAGGGTTGACTCCAGTTGACCTCATCCTAAGCGGTGTTTTGATGCTGGTGGCGGCGGCTGTCAATGGTAACTCCAGACAGCGGCGATACATCTCACTTGACTAATCTACTCGTCTGGCCTCAACAGCTCTCCTCGCTAAGACTGACAGCGATGGGCGACCTGGGGGCCCTAGTCTCACTCTGTTACCCTAGTGCCAACAGGAGACTCCCAGGGCGTGTGTTGCTGGGGTACACACACACACACACAACACACACACACACACACACACACAACAAGAGACAGAAATACTGACAGATAATTCAAGAGAAAAACGTAGTGAAAATAAAAGATAGAGACTGTATATGAATATTCCATACAAGAAGGATTACCTGTGTGTGTGTGTGTGTGTGTGTGTGTGTGTGTGTGTGTGTTGTGTGTGTGTGTGTGCATCATTTCTAATATTTATACTTCTTGTTTTTTTATCTATACTTTTCATTTCGTTCTACTTTTCATTTCATCTATACTTTTATCTCGTCTATACATTTATTTCGTCTATACTTTTCATTTCGTCTATACTTTTCATTTCATCTATACTTTTATCTCGTCTATACATTTATTTCGTCTATACTTTTCATTTCGTCCTTTCATTTCATCTATACTTTTCATTTCGTCTATACTTTTCATTTCATCTATACTTTTCATTTCGTCTATACACTTTCATTTCATCTATACTTTTCATTTCGTCTATACTTTTCATTTCATCTATACTTTTCATTTCATCTATACTTTTCATTTCGTCTATACTTTTCATTGAGATAACAACAACCACTTAGCTTCAGGCGAGGACCAGGTCTATTCTGGTGTGGACACGAACAAAGGGAGTGGAAGGGTGGACAGATGAAGCAAGGGTGGAGGAGAGGGGTGAAGGGAAGAGGAGAGAGGTGAGGTGGAAGAAGGTGGAAGAGGAGAGAGGAGAGAGAGAAGAGGTGAGAGGGAAGGGAAGGAAAGTGGACAGGAAGGGAAAGAGGAATAGAGAAAGAGTGGGAGGAGGAGGAGGATGAGGAGAGGAAACAGGGATAGGTAAGAGGCAAGTGGGAAGGAAAGAGGAGAGGGAAGAAGAGAGATAGAGAGAGAGAACGAAGGAAATGAAATGAGTAAATTGATATGAATGAGTAATAAAAAATCTTCAATTAGACAGAAGAGTAATTATTAAGTGTGTGTGTGTGTGTGTGTGTGTGTGTGTGTGTGTGTGTGTGTGTGTGTGTGTGTGTGTGTGTGTGTGTGGAAGCCTGATTATGTTCTCCCTCAGTCTGCCAGTTACCCTCTCTCTTGATTTATTGAAACCTATGAGAATGGCCTGATACACCTAGGGAGACGATGGGAGGAGAAGTGGGGAGAGAAAACACGGGGAGAGAGGAGAAAAAGGGTTGGAGAGAAAGGGGTTAGGAGGTGGGAGGAAAATGGTTTGGGAGAGGAGAGTAGGGTTAGGAGGCGTTGGAGGGGAAAAGGGATGGGGAAGGGATGTAGGAAAAGGATGGGAGGGGGAGGACTGTAGGGAGGAAACATAGGGAGGGGGGGGGAAGGGGGTGGCTGGAGAGAAACCAGTAAATCATTCTATCCGGGACAATTTCCGTATCGAGTTGGATGGTTGATAATTGAAGAACCTTATTGGCCTGTGTGTGGTGGTGGAGAGGGGAGTGGGAGTGGGGGGTGGGGTGGAGACATGAAGGGGGTGGGGTGGGAGGGGGGAGACATGTGGGAAGAAGGGGACGGACGGGAAAGAGTTGAGGAAGAGGTACAGGAAGGGGTGGGGGAAGGGGGAAGGGAGGGGGGAGGGAGAGGGAGGAGAGAGGGAGGGTGATATTGATGAGTTATTAAAGTAATCCCCATGTTATTGATGGCCGGGGAGAGGGGGGGAGAGGGGGGGTGTGTAGGGGGAAGACGGAAGAGGAGAAAGAAGAGACGGGAAGGGGAGGAACAGGAAGAGAGGGAAGAGGTAGTTATCTCACAAGAATTCATAAAAAAAAAGTTATATTTTTCCTTACTTTTCTTCGTAATAAAAATAGTTATAATTTGTCTATATACTTTGTAGTGTACCGAGGGAGGTGGTACAGGAGGGCGTGACCTGACCTAACTGACCTAGTGACCTATAGACTCTAGTTCACTCTAGGACTGACAGGTTAACCCATGACGTCAGTTAGGTCACGGAATAACAACTCACAACAACAACGATGATGATAATAATGAAGCTTGGATATTACTACTACTACTACTAGTACTACTACTACTACTACTACTACTACTACTACTACTACTACTATTTTTTTAACGTGGCCTCCAGCCTCCCCAATAGCCACACCTTCGCCTACATACCGTAATAATAAATATCCTAATACATAAGTAGCTACTGTGTTGAGTTAGTTGAGCCGCAGATCTGTGGCATTCAGTGACTGTAGCCTCATAGTCAATATCTGCAACTGTTGTCGGGTTGGGCAGAATCTGTTCCCCTGAGGCAGAGAAAGCCGACCGAAGGAGAGAGAAGGCATCGACATCTCTCCAGGCTGTAACATACTTCTGGGCTGCTGCTTCTGTTCGGAGATCACCTCAGCAGTCTGGCGTAGAAACATCTTGCACTTGGTCCCATCCACAGAGGTTGTGAACACCAGAGGAGTGAAGCTGCCTTGATCAACGTTCTGATTTCTCCCCGTATGCCCATCTTGTCGTTCTCTCGTTCCTCCTGTGTGCAGCGTCTGAACAAAGTTACGGTGACATGCAGCCATGGGATCGAAAAGCCTTATGTCGAAGAACTCGCTGTGCGTCCAGAATCCTCGAGCACTGACGTCAACACGGGCTTCGTTAGATGTGTTTGAAGTCCTGTGTTGGAAATTCTACCATCTACTACTACCACTACCACTACTACTACTACCACCACTACTACCACTACCACTACTACGAATAATAATAATAACGGGAATAACAGAGAGAGATACAGACAGACAGACAGACAGACAGACAGGTAGATAAGGTTAGAACATTAGCAGCAAGTTAAACATTTAGGCAACAGCTACACATTGACTCACACATTGACGCCTGACATTTGGGCCGAGACACACACACACACACGGATAGACGGACTGACAGACGAACGGATGGACAGACAGGAGGCGGGGCAGCTGGGTTGGTGTGTGGTGAGCCTTGTTGTATACCAGGAAGTTGTGAGGAGGAGGAGGAGGAAGGTGGGGGGGTAGAAGAAGGCAGGTGGATGAGAGATAAAAGAAGAATGAAGAAAAAGAATAGGTGGAGAAAGAAATGAAAAGGGAAAGAGTAAGAGGAGGAGGAGGGGAGGAGGGGAGGAGGAGGGAGGGAGGAAGAGGGGATAAGTTTCTTTACACGGTGTTGTAAAGTTAGTTGACGTTCTGCCTGTCTGCCTGTCTGTCTGTCTGTCTGTCTGTCTGTCTGTCTGTCCATCCGCGGGCCTTGAACACTCTTGGCCTTTATCCACTATGTTTTGTTGGGGAGGTTAGAAATGGGTTGGGGAGAGAGAGTGGGAGATAGGGGAAGAGGGTTAGGGAAGGGGGGCGAGGGGCGCTGGGGGAGGGCGGTGGATAGATAAGCGTGAGGGGACCGGGGGGAGGGTGTAGTCCGCTCAGCCGATCAGTGTAAACAAACTCCCGCCGCCATCAGTCATACGAGGTATAAACTAAAGTGCCTTGTTATAGGTAAGGTAGGTTATAGGTAAGGTAGGTTATAAGGTAAGGTAGGTTATAGGTAAGGAGGTTATGGGTAAGGTAGGTTATAGGTAAGGTAGGTATTGGGGAGTAGGTTATAGGTTAGGTAGGTTATGGGTAAGTAGGTTATAGGTTAGGTAGGTTATAGGTAAGGTAGGTTATAGGTAAGAGGTTATAAATGGTAAGGTAAGGAGGTTATAGGTAAGTAGGTTAAGGTAGGGTTATGGTGGTGGTTATAGGTAAGGTAGGTAATGGGTAAGTAGGTTATAGGTTAGGTAGGTTATGGGTAGGTGGTTATAGGTTAGGTAGGTTATAGGTAAGGTAGGTTATGGTAGGTAGGTTATAGGTAAAGTGGGTTATAGGTAAGGTGGTTATAGGTAAGGTAGGTTATAGGTAAGGTAGGTTATGGGTAAGGAGGTTATAGGTTAGGTAGGTTATGTAAGGGTTGGTAAGGTGGTTATGGATGGGAAGGTGGGTTATAGGTGTAGGTTATAGGTAAGGTAGGTTATAGGTAAGGTAGGTTATAGGTAAGGTAGGTTATAGGTAAGGTAGGTTATAGGTAGGTAGGTTATAGTAAGTAGGTTATAGGTAAGGTAGGTTATAAGTAAGGTAGGTTATAGGTAAGGTAGGTTATGGGTAAGGTAGGTTATGGTTAGGTGGTTATAGTGGTAGGTTATAGGTAAGGTTATAGGAATGGTTATGGGTAAGGTGTTATAGGTTAGGTAGTTATAGGTAAGGTAGGTTATAGGTAATGGTTATAGGTAAGGTAGGTTATGGGTGAGTAGGTTATAGGTGGGTAAGTTATAGGTAAGGTAGGTTATGGTGGGTAGGTTATGGTAAGGTAGGTTATGGGTGAGGTAGGTTATGAGTAGGTTATGTGGTAGGTTATGGGTGAGGTAGGTTATGGGTGAGGTAGGTTATGGGTGAGTAAGTTATGGGTGAGGTAGGTTATGGGTGAGGTAGGTTATAGGTTGAGGTGGGTTATGGGTAAGGTAGGTTATAGGTAAGGTAGGTTATAGGTAGGTTATGGTAAGGTGGTTGGGAGGTGGGTTATGGGTAGGTGGTTATAGGTAAGGTAGGTTATGGGTGAGGTAGGTTATGGGTGGGGTGGGTTATGGTAAGGTGGGTTATAGGTAAGGTGGGTTATGGGTGAGGTAGGTTATAGGTAAGTGGGTTATAGGTAAGTTAGGATAGGTTATGGGGG